GGGTGCAGCCAGGAGCGGCCTGGTTAGACCCGCCTCAGAAGAGCGTGGAGGCCAGGGAGGGGCCGCTGTGGGTCCCATGGGTGAGGGAGAATGGGGGGCAGCGGGAGAGCGCCGCAGGTTGAGGGTGTCGGGAGATGTGAGGTGTGAGGCAGGGCGTGGGACCGGATGTCACCTGCGTGTGCAGCTTGAGCAGCTGGGAATGGAGCTGCCTCTCCGAGTTCAGCCAGGAACAAAGTAGACGAGGTCCCTGGAGCCAAGGGGCTCCCAGGGAAGGAATCAGTTGGAAAACAAGCAACTCCACATGGGAGGAGAGTCAGGGAGAAGATGTACGGGAGCTGTGGGAGTCACAGCCAGGGATAGCTAGTCTGAGCCTTCGCAGCAGTCAGGCAAGGCCTCAAGGAGGTGACAGCCACGCTGAGCCCTGAAGGCTGTCCAGCAGTTGGCCAGAGAAAGAGTGGGGCAGAACCAGCACATTCCAACACAGGCCCGAGGCCTCCAGCACCCCGCAGGCCACTTTGAGAACCGCATCCCCCTCTGCAAACATCCACACCAAGTTAACTTCATCGTCACAGCTCTAACCCGAAGAGCTGGCCTTGTCCCTGTCTGTTCCTTCCAGTGGCTACTGCTTACCACCCTCTGAGGGCCTCAGATGATTGTCTAGAATTTCTCTAGGGATCGGGAAGGCTTTTCAGGGAGATTTCCAAGCAAGACGTGAAAGCGGATCTCCCAGGTTCAGTGGAGCTGCCGCAGCCGACACTTTGATAAGCAGAGTCAAGCTGTTCCTGCCCAAATTGCAAGATCAGGAGCAAATAAATGATCAGTGTTTTAAACCAGCGGTCCCCAACATTTTTGGCACAAGTGACAGGTTTCATGGAAGAGAATTTTCCCATGGACGGTTGGTAGGGGGAGGTGGAGCTCAGGGGGTGATTCCTGCGCTCACCTCCTGCCGTGTGGCCCAGTTCCTACCAGGAGACAGCAGTTTTATTTATTTATTTTTATTTTATTTTTTTGAGACAGAGTCTCACTTTGTTGCCAGGCTAGGGTGAGTGCCGTGGCATCAGCCTAGCTCACAGCAACCTCAGTCTCCTGGGCTCAAGTGATCCTGCTGCCTCAGCCTCCCAAGTAGCTGGGACTACAGGCATGCGCCACCATGCCCGGCTAATGTTTTTTCTATATATATTAGTTGGCCAATTAATTTCTTTCTATTTATAGTAGAGACAGGGTCTTGCTCTTAGCTCAGGCTGGTTTCAAACTCCTGACCTCGAGCAATCCGCCTGCCTCGGCCTCCCAGAGAGCTAGGATTACAGGCGTGAGCCACCGCGCCCGGCCGAGACAGCAGTTTTAAACCACTAAGTTCTGCAGTTGTTTGTTACACAGCGAAAAAGGATGGAAATAAGCCCCCTTCCTCCCCGCTGTTATTGAGCACCTACTATGTGCCAGGCATTGTGTTAAAGCTTGGAGAAATTAATTAATCCCATCCCAGCGCACAGTCAGTAAGAGATGGGCTAGCTCTAAAGACCCAGCACTTATTACTCCTGAGGGTTCAACTCTTGGGCACAAGCTTGTGTGCTCTTTCAGGCCCAACCATAAGTGATGACAAAGGCTTTACCTGCCTTCCATGGGGGGCGGGCGTGGGAAGGCATGGGGCTGCCCTCCCTGCACCAGACTCAGACACAGCCGGTGAGTTGCGGCCAGGAGTCAGGCCGGGTGGCTGTGCTCTCACATGCACTTGCAGCCCCAGCCCAGGAGCCTCTGTGGGGCAGCCTCTGTATGGGGGCCCTCATCTGAAGCCCTCGCCAAGTGGGTCTGCAGGACCTCCTGGCCGGAGCTGAGGGAATCTTGAAGACACTTTATTCTCAGTACTTTTCCACTCCCAGCCTTTACCCGTCTTGTCCCCCTGCCCCACTTCCCAAAGTCCGTAAAACTTAGCAGGAGCTTTTCTTTCTTATTTTATTTTATTTTATTTTATTTATTTATCTTTTGAGACAGAGTCTCACTCTGTGGCCTGGGCTAGAGTGCCGTGGCGTCAGCCGCGCTCACAGCAACCTCAAACTCCTGGGCTCAAGCGATCCTTCTGCCTCAGCCTCCCGAGTAGCTGGGACTACAGGCATGCGCCACCATGCCCGGCTAATTCTTTCTATATATATTAGTTGGCCAATTAATTTCTTTCTATTTATAGTAGAGACGGGGTCTCGCTCTTGCTCAGGCTGGTTTCCAACTCCTGACCTCGAGCAATCCGCCCACCTCGGCCTCCCAGAGAGCTAGGACTGGCTTTTTGTCTTTATGGACTGCGGAACACCTGGCAGCTCAGCGATGTCCAGCTTGGCTCAGCACTTGACAGCTTGCACAACTCACCTTTCAGAGCACTCGCAGCCAGAGCCTCCTGGCAGCCAGCTCTTCCCTGTTCCGACCTGGTTTCCCAGGCACCCTGTCTGCCTGGAGTCCTTTCAACTCTGCTCCCTGTGCCCCTGCCACCCTCTAGTTTCCAGGCTCACATCCTTTGTTTCAAATTCCTGACCTCCAGCAATCCATCGCCTGGGCCTCCCAGTGTGCTAGGATTACAGGTGTGAGCCACCGTGCCGGCCCCACATCCTTTGTAATCAGGTGCAAACCACAAAAGCTCCCATTGTGACTTCAAGAAAAGACTCAATAGTTACCACTTTGGAGTATCAGGCGCTGTAACGATGATGGTACCAGCCAATATTTACTGAGTATGTGCTATGTCCTAGGCACATGCTAAGTGTTTCACACATATGATCTCATGCAAGGAGTTCATACATGCAGTGCTTAGACATGCAGTGTCTGGACATAGTAATTGGTCAACAAGTGGTAGCTACTATTGCCATCAATCCTCAGGACACCTCCATCAAGTAGGTCCTTATTATTTGTCATCCCCCAGTTTTAGAATTGATGATACTAAGACCCAGAAGGATTAAGAGACACAGTGAATAAAGGGTGGAGCTGGACCTCAAGCCCAAACCTGTCTGACTTTTGAGCCCAGGTGCTTTCCAGGTGACAGCACTACCTTTTGGACCTGTTGGCAAACCCTTTTGAAGCAAGTATGGCTGGATAAAATATAGTTTACGAAGCACGGCTTTTTGAAAGGCTTCTGCCTAAGTGCTTTAAAATGTAAAAGGTTTCAATGCTCCAAGTAGTAAGCTTCAGTGGTGGATTCCTTTATATAAAACTCCATGCTTCAGGAAACACCCCAATGAATCACCCCAATATAAATAAGAGTTTTCCACCAGTGCCGTTGGTGCTCGGTGGGTTTAATCCTGTTAAATCATCCTCTTTGCTTTTAATATGAATAAGTCCCAAAACTATAAAGAGTAAGAGTCATCACGTTTCCTTTCAAGTGCCAAGGGGAACACAAACTCCCTCTAGATCTTGTTCGACCTAGAAAACGCCTCAAGGTCAGGCTTGAACCATCTCTAGGTGACATCATATCCACTGGCAATGGGTCAGAGTAGTTAAGAGTTAAACACAGGCCGGTGCGGTGGCTCATGCCTGTAATCCTAGCACTCTGGGAGGCCGAGGTGGGCGGATTGCTCAAGGTCAGGAGTTCGAAGCCAGCCTGAGCAAGAGCAAGACCCGTCTCTACTATAAATAGAAAGAAATTAATTGGCCAACTAAAATATATATATAAAAAGTTATCCAGGCATGGTGGCGCATGCCTGTAGTCCCAGCTCGGGAGGATTGCTTGAGCCAGGAGTTTGAGGTTGCTGTGAGCTAGGCTGATGCCATGGCACTCACTCTAGCCTGGTGCATCAAAAGCGAGACTCTCTCAAAAAAAAAAAAAAAAAAAAAAGAGTTAAGCACAGTAGCTAAGAGCTTGGACAACCCTGGGGAATCAGGTAGCTGTGTGATTTTAGGCAAAATGTTCAATCTCTTGATCCTAGGTGTCCTCATCTGTAGACTAAGAACAATATCAGCACCTACTTCCTCGGTTCATTGCAAGGAGTGGGTGAGATGCTTTTAAGGCCTGGACGGACTAGGGGTTCAAGAATTATCAGTTTTCATGGCCGGGCCTGGTGGCTCACGCCTGTAATCCTAGCTCTCTGGGAGGCCGAGGCGGGCGATTGCTCAGGTCAGGAGTTCAAAACCAGCCTGAGCAAGAGTGAGACCCCGTCTCTACTATAAAATAGAAATAAATTAATTGGCCAACTGATATGTATATAAAAAATTAGCCGGGCATGGTGGCGCATGCCTGTAGTCCCAGCTACTTGGGAGGCTGAGGCAGAAGGATCGCTCGAGCCCAGGAGTTGAGGTTGCTGTGAGCTAGCTGACGCCACGGCACTCACTCTAGCCTGGGCAACAAAGCGAGCTCTGCTCCAAAAAAAAAAAAAAGAATTATCAGTTTTCATTATTACTAAATACTGGTGAAAGGGACGACTACATCCAGGAAAGCTTGAGATCCCTCTAGAAAGAAGGCCAATCTTCTTTAAATGAGTGTTTCCGCTTGGTGGGACTTCTCAACAGTTTAGCAGAAACTCCTGAACAGATTCATCTGGGGCAGGATCCAGATTCCAGCTAAATTTAGGTCTTCCAGTGTCTGAGCCAAGGTTCTTAACCTTTAGGAAGTATCACAATCGCTCAGAGAACTTATTCACAATGCATATTATTGGGGTTCTCCCTCCAAGAATCTATCCTAGGTTTGGGGTGAGACCTGGGACTAGATAGGTTTAACAAACACCCCAGGTCATTTTCTCCAGAGTCTGAAACATTTCCCTAAACCAGGAATAGGCAGACTTTTACAGTAAAGAGCCAGAGAGAATACTTTTGGCTTTAGGGGGCAGAAGGCTCTGTTTATAATACTCAACTCTGCTCTTGTGGCATGCTCACAAAAAGCCATGGATTCATAAATGAATGGGTGTGGCAGTGTTCCAATAAAATTTTATTTACAAAAATAGGTGGTGGGTTAGACTCGGTCCATGGGCTGCAGTCTGGCAGCCCTGCTCTCTTCTATATTTAACCAATAAAGAAAGGAAGACACAGAGATGCATGTATAAAAAAGTGATTATTTTTTTAATTTAAAATTATGACCTGGAAAGAACTAGTCAGTTTAAGTGATCCAGGCTTTCTCTTTATACCCAAATGGAACAGACACAATATTGGCTCAGATTTCCAACCCCAGAGAAAAACCAAACCAAGTCCCAAATCCTTGGGAAGTCCCTGCAGCTCCACTGCTGGGGCCATCAGGCTCCAGGCCTGCTGCTCTCCAGCCCGGCCGAGAAGGGCTTTCCTTCCACCACCAGCTCCCTCGCAGGGCTGGGTCCCTCTCCATGCCCCTGGAGCTGGCACTGCGCGTGTGCCTCCACAGAGAAGACGAAGGTACAGCAGTCACCTCCCAACCGTCTTTGGGGCATCTTCCTATGATCACAATAGCAGAGCTGAGCAAGTCTAAACATTCGTGCCCAGAAGGGCAGCATCTTCACTTGTCTAGCTGAGATCTGGAGCCTCAAGTTGTAACCATTGGTCATGTGTGGCCAAGGCACCGGCAGCAAAACAGCAAACTTGGGAAACGATCTGGGGAGATGCAAGGGTCTCAGTGATCAATGGTGAGTCTGAAAATGAAACAGACAAATGCCACCTGGGTAAAATCCTCACAAATGTTGCAGGGGAGAAAGCATAAAGAACAGGGAACAGCACCTCCTGCAGCACTCCAAGGCTCTTTCTGCTCCTCCCAGAGCACAGAATTCAAAGGGTCCCACTTCTTAGGTCAGCTTCGCCTCTCCCACCTCCTACATTCAGGGTCAATCCTGGCTTCAGATTCACTCAGCCAGTGATAGGGAGTCTTACAAGAACACGAGGCACTGAATAACGTGCAAGGGAGAAGAGTCAGCCTGTGATGTTCAGCAGGGCTTTTCTGCACCGAATTTTGGTAACGTGGAATTAGCACAGGGAGGAAGGAGGAAAGGCATAGCTACCGAGCTGCCCTCCTGGAGGCCCTCCTAGGAGGGGGCCACGTACAGAATAAATACAACCAGCTTGAAAAAAGGCTTCTGGAAAAAGCCAACAGGCCACCTTAGACCCACTGCAGTGGGACAACAGGCTTCCACACTGGGTTGCCTGCTTTAAAATTTACGGCACCTAAAGCTTCACCTGAGTCAAAAGCTCTAGGGGGGCCAGGTGCAGTGGCTCATGCCTGTAATCCTAGCACTCTGGGAGGCCGAGGCGGGTGGATTACTCAAGGTCAGGAGTTCAAAACCAGCCTGAGCAAGAGCGAGACCCCCGTCTCTACTATAAATGGAAAGAAATTAATTGGCCAACTAATATATATAGAAAAAATTAGCCGGGCATGGTGGCACATACCTGTAGTCCCAGCTACTTGGGAGGCTGAAGCAGCAGGACTGCTTGAGCCCAGGAGTTTGAGGTTGCTGTGAGCTAGGCTGATGCCACAGCACTCACTCTAGCCTGGGCAACAAAGTGAGACTCTGATTCAAAAAAAAAAAAAGCTCTAGGGGAAAACCACCAAAGGGCTGCCCAGAGAAAAAGCTGTGGAAGACCAGAGAGTGGCCAAACCATCCTCACCACACACAGCATTTCTGCGCCAGGCTGGCTGCACACTGAGTGCACTGCGGAGGCATCAGGGCATTCACAAGGGCCTGCGCTGTGCCTGGGTGGGATGGGGGAGAACACGGCAGTGATAAGAGTCCCCTGAGAACTGAAGCACAATGAGAAGGAGAAAAGGGTAGAGTTTCCTCCTCAGGCTCAGTCACGCTGCCTCCCAAAGGAGGAAGATATTATTGCCCAACTGCCAGCTCCACTGACATTATCTAACTCAAACAGATGGCACCTGGGGGGTCAGCTCAGCACAGATCCCGGCTATGAGACGGCCGCAAGTGAGAGCCGGTTGTTCCTGACAGTTGTCCTAGACCAGGTCTGGGTCATGTCACAAACCCTGGCTCATGCCAACACATATTCCGTCACACACACATGTGACCCCAGCTAACCAATCTTCTGGATCTTAGGAAGGCAACTCGAGTGGCGGGAGGAAGAGAGTTGGTCTCAGGAGCCCAACAAGTTCCTCTTCCCAGTTTCCTTCTCAGAAGCAGTGGACCCCTAAATGCTTGTCAAAGAGGGAGCTGTCCACGTGGCCAACCTAAGGCCAATCACAGAACCCACTTACAAGACCGCGGAGGTTTCATCCAATCATGGCGGAAGGCTGGCTCCATCCCTGCCCTCACTGGATGATGCTGTCCGGCTGCCCGTTCTGGGCCACCTGTCCAGGGTCAGAGGCAGGAGCCGGGCTGGGTGTGTTGCTCTGCAGGTAGCGGCGGAAATCTTTGATCATGGGCCGGAGGACCTGGATGAGGACGCTCAGGGCCGCCTGGGTACCCTCCATGGCTTGGGCTTGGCGCTCCTGGGCACAGGCCTGCACCTCCTGGGAGCGGCGGATCATCTGCAGGAGGTCGTTCTGCTGCTCCAGGTGCTGGGCAATCTCCTTCACATGCAGGTTGGTGACCCGCTGCTCCTGTATCAGCTTGGCAGAGTTGAGGGCAATTCGGCTCTTAAGTGCCTGCGGCTTGACAGATGCATCTGTGTGCTGGGCCATCATCTCCACGGGGGCCTCGGCCGGCAAAGGTGGGGGGGCCTCAGCAGTGCAGTACTCCACCACTCCTTCCTCCAGTGTGTGATAGGCTGTCTCAGTGGGGACTGCAGGGAAGAAAGAACAAGAGCTGACACCGGTCAACTTTCTGGAAGGAATGAAGGTGGCTATGTGGGGTGGAGAGGAAGCTGTCAAGCCCTGTCTTGGAGGTAGATAAAAGGGAATTCAGGCCACCCCTGGCTGTATAGCTATTCAGGTATAAATCTAGAATCTAAGGCAGGGGCCTCAAACTACAGCCCATGGGCCACATGGGGCCCGCTGAGGACATTTATCCGGCCCGCCGGGTGTTTTTGCCACCGCTGCCTGTCCTGCTTAGTAGCCAACTCGTCCCAGGCTCACAGTGCACATGTGTGGAATGTGCACTGCACTCTCCAATGGCCCTCCAAAGGTCTGAGGGACAGTGAACTGGCCCCCTGTTTAAAAAGTTTGAGGACCCCTGATTTAAGGAGTTCAGAACCTTAATCTAACAAAAGGCCCAGCCCCAGATCTGGCAAAAGCAAAGATGCCAATAATAATACTAGCAAGAATTATAGAGCATCTACTACGCACCAGGCACTTTGTACTCATTAGCCTGATGAATCCTCATAACGACACCAAGAGATAGGTACTGTCATCTTCATTTTCAGAGACAAGGAAACAGACTGGAACATGGAGTGACCTGCCTAAAGTCACAGGGCTCATTCAGCAGAGTCAGGAAGCAAACCCAGGTCTCCCTAACACCAGAGCCTGAAGTGCTCATAACCACTCCACTGGGCTGCTTCTAGCTAAGAAAGGCACCTCAGAGGCAGGTCACATGCTCCCTGTAATGCCAGCATGAAGCAGGCATCTTGGGTGGGACTCTACACAAGCAATTTGCAGCCCGACGAGTCCTACCTTCTTTGATGTGTTCTTGACTTCCACATCCCCTGTGGCCAAGCAGAAAAGGAGGCAGGAGTACGCAGCAGCAGCTAAAGTGCCCAAGAAATGTCTCCCTGTCTCTTTGACCACATTGGACAATGGGACACCTACACTTCCTTCCTGTTCCACAAAAGCATCTGACTTAGGCCGGTGTTTGCCCCTCTTTTCCCACCTCAATATATACTTGAGAAACACGACACTGCTTGGGGATGGCACTCACACATGCACCCAATTCCCCTAAGCCCCATCAAGAGTCACTGAATGATCCCGTTCACAATCATCTCAAATGAGTAGAGGTAGCAGGCACTGGCACAAACCCTTCTCTGAACTAAAAAGTTCAAACCTAGTTCAGTTGTCATTAACAGCTGAGAACTTTTGAAGGGATCCTAGGTGGGCTGTTTGGGCCTCCATGCACATGGGAGACACCAGTCTTCACCCTTGAGTGCCACCAGGAAGCCCCCTTTCCTCTTCTGAGTCCTTAGGTTTTCCCAACTGAGAGTGACATATTCATATATGTATCTTATCTGTCCTACCGGAACATAACTGGCCTATAATTTAGACAGTTTGGTAATCCCAGTGCCCGGCACAGGGTCTGGCACAGAATAAGTGCTAATGTTTGATGGATGGATGAATGAATGAATGAATGAGGAGATTAACACCAGGAAGCATAAGGTTCCCAAGCACTGCCTGATGAATGTTTGTTGCACTGAAAACACAGAAAGTCTTTGTCCAGAATGGTTGTCTCACTTGGGCATTATTATTCCCATCTATCTATTCAACAGATATATCCTGTAGGGACATAGATATGGTCTCTGTCTTCAAGGACCACACAGTTCAGCAAGGGGAGGTAAGTCATGGACAAACATGGAGGCAACACACAGTAGAGAGCTATCCAGCTGTCAGAGTCCAGACCACGTGCTGAGGAAGTCCCAAAGAGAACAAGATCACTTCTATCCGGGGCACTCTTGGAAGGACTCATGGTCTTCCAAGATCCCCATCTGACCTTTGACCCTTGGCAGCCAACCTTCCCCAGGCCACCCCAGAGCTTGCTGGCCCTTCCCATTTATGCACGCTGACTGAGCAGGAGAGGTCACTCACTCTGTGTCAGGGTGACCGTGGCTGCAGCTGCAGTGGCCGTGGGTCCGAGGGCCACGGGGTGGATCTCTGTGGTACTGGGCAGGCTGATGATGGTGGCCTCGCCCAGCAGGTTGCAGATGCGTTGTTGCATGGGAGTCAGCAGTACTGGGGCTACAGCTGGGCCGCTGCCGCCACTGCCACCGCCTGTCACAGGCCCACCAGCTCCATCCTCCTCAGTGGGCCCCGGTGCCTCGCCACCCTCCACGGCGGCCCGGACCTGGGCAACCTTGCGACGGACCTCAGTCTTGAGGTCAGACCACTTCTTCTTGACCTCAGGCAGCTCCCTGCGGCAGGTGGCCACAGCGTTGACCCTTCTCAGGATGCCGTGCCAGGCTGCGCTCTTGGCGGCCAAGGGGACCCCGGCATTGAAGTGGTTCACCAGCAGGTGCTTTTTCAGCTCCAGCTCCTCCACGATGATCTCCACCTCCCGCTCGGAGAAGTTCATCTTCCTCTTCTTGGCTGGGACGGCCATGGCCTCTCCCCTCCCCTCCTTTTAAAGAAATTATACACCCCTCAACCACCCCAATTCCCCTTCTATTCTTCCTCAACCTCACCCCTCACCCACCCCCTACAGGGGATAGGTAGGGCTTGCTTAAGGCCAAGCACCAGGCCTTTGGTAACCCCCTCGCTACGCAAAGTGCGTAGGGCCCAGCCTCAACCGGCCCGGGCGCTGCCAGCCAGCTGCGTAATGGCTTCCTGAATCTGCCTCTTCCGCCGAGGTGTGCGGAGATCCGCCCACCTCCCCTCTTCCCGCCCCTCAGCGCTTTTCCAGGAGAACCCGCCTTCCCGGTTGGTCGCGGCTCAAATATCACGTCGATCACTGGTTCTCTAGGTCTGCCGCTCAGCTTAGGAGCACGCCTACTTACTGGAATGCACCTGACCGTTGGTCCAAAGTTGTGTCTGTCACTCCAGAGCGCTCCGCCTACCCAGCGTTTATTCGCCTCCATTGGAAAATCATTCCGTCGTTCAATTATCAGTATTACGATTATTACGCCGTTAAATTCAACTATTTTATTGGTGGTTTAGGGCGTTAAACTACCAAAACCCTGCTTCTTGAGGATACTTAGTCCGTTCGGCCTTGAGCTGTTGGCCAATTAATTTTTAATTCCACTCACGGACACAATCTCTGCCTTGCAATTGCAGTTCACAATTGCTCTTACACAAATCCTATTTCCCACAGGAGGCTACGATCTCTCCGTGAACGACTGCTCCTCTCATTCTTAGGATTCCGCTGCCTAAACAGCGTTTCTCAATGGAAATTGAACACAGGGTCTTCCGCCTGCCAGTCACATGACTTATGCCTATCGCTGCGTGGTTTCCTCTCCCTGGCCCGACTCAGCCAATCCCCGCCTCCCTCAGTTTGAATCGGTCCCCGGCGGAGCGGTGTGGCCCCGCCCACTCCATTGATCCGGGTAAGCCTAGGCGGTGTGGGCCGTCCTCAAGCAGGCTCCGCCCCCGAGGCCCGCCCCCCAGGGGCTCTCCGTCCGGCCCTGTGACTGGCCCGCGGCGCGCCCGGGGGCGTGGCCACCGAGGCGGCGCGCGGCAGGGCGGGACTCCCGGAAGCGGCCCCTCCCGCCAGCTTGCCGGCACTTGGGAGCCTGCGTTCTCTGTGAGAGAACGCCTGGCGTGACTTCCGCGCTGTTCCCGCCGGCCCGCCGCCCCCGCCCCGCGCCCCTGTCTCGCGCCCGATGGTGAGCAGTGTGTTGTGCCGCTGCGTGGCCTCCCCGCCGCCGGAAGCCGCCACCGCCGCCTCGTCGTCAGCCTCGTCGCCGGCGTCCGTGGAGGACCCGTGCGGCGGCGCCGTCTGCGGGGGCCCGGACCACCGGCTGCGCCTCTGGAGCCTCTTCCAGACGCTGGACGTCAACCGCGACGGCGGCCTGTGTGTCAACGACCTGGCAGTGGGGTTGGGGCGCCTGGGACTGCACCGCACCGAGGGCGAGCTCCAGGTAGGCAGCGCGAGCCAGCCACGCGGGCGGGGGAGGGAGCCCCCGAGAGGTCCGGGTGACAGGTGCGGGCCGCTGGTGACAGGTCTGGACCTCCCTTCTTTCCGGGCAGACCCCCTAGAGCTTGGCAGGTCGGGGTGGATGGCCCCTCGTGCTGGACGGGACCCCTGCTGTTCTCAAGAGTAGTGCCCTTTGGCTGACAGACACCCTATTTATGTCCTGGTCGGAGTGGGGCCCCTTTCCGACCTCTGGGTGCTTGGGCCAGTCTCTTCATAGGTATCCTTTGGGCCTTCTAATGGGTGAAAATCCCTTTTCTGCCTGGGCGTTCCTCAAAGTAGAAGGCCAAGTCTCAAGAGTGCTCTTATCACCTCCTGACCTCAAGGCCAAGCTGGATGCGCCCTGTACCCCATTGACAGATTTATCCATCCATCTCCAGCACCTCCTTTTTCCTCTCGTTTCCATGCCACCCATGGGCCCTGATCTGGTTCCTCTCAGAAGCATGTGGGAGTTGGAAAAAAATGGGTATTAGGGTTTCAGGCAGATCTGTGTGGATGTGGGTGGTGAGGACTGACAGTGCTCATGGTTTAGGCTCATGCCCATTGCCTTGCTTATCTAAAAAATGCCCTGCAGGGATCACCTGCAGGGTTGGAGTGTAGATGGATTTAAAGAATCTGGGGGAAAGTGAAACTGTGGTACACCTAACAGGGGAGATTGTTACTCTTGTCCTGGAGTGGATCCTTGACCGATGTTGGGGGAAAGGAGGCAGAGAAATGGCCATCTCTGGACCTGCCAGAAAGAGAAGTGTGTCCTTTGTGTATAAGCTTGGAGCAGTGGCTGTTTTTCCCTTCTGTTTCTCCTGGTATGTTATTCAGTCTGACTTGGTAGCTGTAGCTACCCTTTCCCAGGTATTTCACTCATGTGGCTTAGCCTGGTTTACAACCTGTATTAGGAATACTGAGTACTTACATAGGAACCTGTTTCTCTTCTAAGTTTGTTTGTTTGGTCCATTTGTACATACAACAATTAGAGAACCTCATAGCCAAGTATGAAAAAAATCTAGTAAAATGCCAGTAAATTAAATCAAGTGGATGGGTGGTTGGGTGTAAGCAAGGTGTTTTTAACTCATGCCCAAGATATCTTGGCTCAAGATCCAGGGTATTTAACCTACTTACTTAGTTGTCAGCCTAGGAAGACCAGGGGTAACACTATGCAACATGGAATTATTGGATTAAGTCCAAGAGATTTAGAGACAAGGTTTTATTTATATGTGTGTTCTGTTTTGTTTTGAGACAGAGTTTCACTCTGTTGCCCAGGCTAGAGTGCCATGGCGTTAGCCTAGCTCACAGCAACCTCAAAACTCCTGGGCTCAAGCCATCCTTCTGCCTCAGCCTCCCGAGTAGCTGGGACTACAGGCATGTGCCACGATCTCCGGATAATTATATATATATATATATATATTTTTTTTTTTAGTTGTCCAGCTAATTTCTTTCTATTTTTAGTAGAGACAGGGTATCGCTCTTGCTTAGGCTGGTCTTGAACTCCTGAGCTCAAATGATCCACCCATCTCAGTCTCCTAGAATGCTAGGATTACAGGTGTTGTGTGAGGCCTGTTTTTAATTTTTAAAGTCAGCTTTACCTAAAATGATGTTGTGAATTGGAGATTTTCCCCTATGTATCTGATGAATAAGTCACTTGAAAAGATAGGATGGCTAAACCCAGAGGGACTGTGCGTTAGGGTTCGGGTAGGTGTGGGCCCAGGTGAACCTTCCTGCTTTTATGAACCTATCAACTTGGCCTGTGCTGCCAGGCACATTGAGAACATCTGGCTGCAGGAGTATATTAAATGTTTACACCATGATTTGTGCCTCTACTGAAGTCACAATGTTCTCAAGCTCGTGGCATATCTGATATTGATCCTAATCCATTTTTTTGGCAGTGAATTTTTCAGGGCAAATAAGGAGAAAGTGATCATTTTTCTTTCCAGTGTTGAAAGAAAGCCTCTTTTTATTAACTAAAGGGAACCTGGCCCCTTGGGATCACTTTGGCTCTAAAATCTTTGCCTCTGTGACTGATCTAAGTTCTATGATATGGAACAGTTGTTGTTTTTTTTCTTTTGGCCTCTATTTCTTCAACTCTTTCAGCTTTTGAACAAATTAAGTTGTTATACAGCTTTGGGAGAAATGAGAAGTGATTCACTTTATTAACTCATTACCTGTAAAGGAGCACACGTTAGTCCTGTGGGGAATGTTTTAAGGACTGGAGAGAAAATCTGCCATTTTATAAATAACTGGGTGACAGGAAGACACCCTGCCTTGTACACCCCCTGCCACTTCCTGTTGAGTTCGCATCAGTATTAGCTACCTACAGAAAGAGCAGTGCTGCAGTTTTACACCATTAGCAGGAACCGAAAGAGAACTTGGGGGTCCTTTAGTTCAAAACAGGTAATCTGCCATAGGAATAGGCATTAAAAAACACATCAAACTTTGGAACCTGCTTCATGTGGCCCATGTGAAACCAGCCTGAGATGCTGTGGTTTGCAAAAGAATCAGCTATGAGTGCTTGTCAGTGGGTAATAGGTGAACCCAGGCCATGTGATTCCACAAAGCCTTTTGTTAGCTTATAACAGCCTGGGTAAAGTTTTCTTTAAAAATAAACGAACAAATTTTGCCATCTGCCTTTGTTTGAGAAGAGATGGGGACACTCAGAGAAAAATTACTTAAAATGGAAGTAGGCAGAGAAACCCATGGCAGCCAGCCAGGGAGATTTTCTTTGTAAAGGGCATGTAGGCAAGAAGCTCGTCCTGGGACAAAAGAAGGGAAGGATTTATCAAAGAAAAAAGATGACAACGGTAGTGACTTTGGGAGATGAGATTCAGCAGAGCTAATTATAGCATTGTCTATTTAAGGCATTTTCATGTGACCAAACAAAATCTGTGTCTTAAAACAAATTTAAAACATAGGTTAGAACTCAGGCAGCCAATTAGAGGAAGAAAGCAAGCTGTGTTACATGTACACAATTTTCTCTTTGGCTGAGGCTTGTGGGTTTTCATTAGGAGCTGGTGTTTAATGCAGGTGAGGATTCTAGACAATGCTGCAGTCAGCTGATTTACAGACTGGCAAGCACACCATCTAGTTTGAGCCCAACAATAACTTGTGAAGCAGGCAATTGACAAAATAGTTTCACCCCATTTTACAAGGGAAGGACCAGTGGTTCAAAAAGACAATGAAACTGCCTCGAAAATCATTTCATTGCCAGGGAATTGGACCACCGAAGGAATTAGAACCATCTTCTGATTCCTGCTCCTGTCCTCTTTAACTCCTTAGTTGTTTCTGAAGAACATGAAGAGAGTTCCAAACCTGGGCTTTTGGGAGAACTTGAGAAAGAGGAGAGAGATCCTTTAGAACCATAGCTTTTGTTCCCACCGTATAGGTTTCAAGATTATCCACAATTTACCCTGCCAAAGAACAAAAATCCACCCTGCCCTATTTCTCTCACTGACCTGAGCAATAGACATAATAAGGCAACCCTTGTTGACTTGAAATAATTGAATGGAGGATCAGTAATGTCAAGTTAGTATTGCTCTATACCTTTAAATGTTTGGACATTTGTGGGGCAGATGTTTACCAAGATAGCCAGATTTAGTCTGCAGATAAGATAGTCTACAGAAGAAAGAACCTTTTTCATAGAAATGAATAGACATTATTTGGTATAGTATACTGGCCCATGAAGAAAAGAAAATTTTTTTTTTATAGATTGGATTGATTTCATATATCAAACTGATTAACTTATTGTGTTATATTATTGCAAAATTGGTTCCTGGCTCAAAGTCATGATGATCAAGTCAACTAGAAGAATTTTTTTTTTGAGACAGTCTCACTGTGTTGCCTGGGCTAGACTGCTGTGGCGTCAGCCTAGCTCACAGCAACCTCAAACTCCTGCGCTCAAACAGTCCTTCTGCCTCAGCCTCCCTAGTAGCTAGGACTACAGGCATGTGCCACCATGCCCAGCTAATTTTTGCTATGTATATTTCTAGTTGGCCAATTAATTTCTTTCTATTTTTAGTAGAGATGGGGTCTCGCTCTTGCTCAGACTGGTTTCAAACTCCTGACCTTGATCAAACCACCCGCCTTGGCCTCCCAGAGTGCTAGTATTACAGGTGTGCCACCGCGCCAGGCCAAGAATTTTTTTTAATGAGTTGATATTTCAAAAGGTGGAGTCAGGTACCCTGATCCTAAAGACCAAGTAACAAATAAGAATATACCAGAGTCTGTCTGACCTGGAGCTTCAGTTGGATGAATTCCTTTGATGTTCAATGAGTCACTAATTGTGGAGGTCTCACAGAAAGCACGGGGGAATAAGGGAAACATATTTTGCTAGTATTCATTTCTGATCCAGCTGAGTACAGCTGTGGGATGAAATCAGTGAACAAAATTGTACTTATATGGGACTAGTCTCATTAAACTAAATCGGTACACCCTTTTAATTTTAGCCATTTCTTATTATACTAATGTGAATTTGGCAGACCCATAGATT